TTGATGATCAAAGAATGCTTTGCCTGGCCACGCCAAGCATTTGACTTTCAGGCCGCGGAAATCTAGGCAAATTTCTAAACAGTCTCAGTTTGTGGATGATACGCTATTCAACTTCTTCATTTCACCGCCAAAGTGCGGAGTAGTCACTTTACATGAATTGTCATTAGGATTTGAACGTCCGCACTGTTGAACACAGCATTTTAGCTCCGGATAGATGGAAAGCCCCGAATTTTACATTGTGTTACCCAGTGTCGCCATTGCACTGTGCTGGAAAGCACCTCCATGTACTGGCAGTTCATTTCGATTTTATATATTTTTCTACTTTCTTGTAGTTTTTTATAGGGATCTTCTATTTTTCAATGATAACTCCATGAGTCCTCCACTTTTTCATGTACTTGGCGTAATTTGTTTACTTTTTTGAAGTTTTTTCCGAATATTTGTTACACTTTGGCGGATCCGACTTCAAGGCCTGATTTTGCAATTTCGGCCTTAAAACTTTATAAACAATAAAATGATGATAGCAAACGTACTTTGATTGTTTATAAAGTTTTAAGGGCGAAATTGCAAAATCAGGCCTTGGAGTCGCATCCGCCAAAGTGTAACGAATATATTAAAACCAGAGTTATTAGAAAATATTTCTTCCTTGTTTCAATATCCTGGAAAAAAGCATGCTAGCCTAATCGCCCCTCTTAGCCTCCTGCGCACCCTTAATGTGGGGGGGTTACTCGTTCGCCCTGCAGACAGACTTAAACTTGGGGCTGGGTTTTTCAACGAAAAACAACGTTTTTCTTTGTTAATACTGTCCACGCGGGGAAATGAGATCAAAACAGTGTTTGGCCCGATGCCCCGGACCGTAGAGCATACCCATTTATATAGGAAACGTTTATTTAATTCATTTCGTTTATTTTTCACCAAGATATAAAAACTATTGAGCAGCACTATCAAAGATATTGGGATGAAAGAATGGATGGGAGACTACATTTGGTTCCTCATTAGAGAAATGGACCTAAAGAAGAACAAAAGACAAATCAAAGGCCAAAATTATTTCTAATCGAAATGAATTAAATAAACGTTTCCTATATAAATAGAAGAAAAATACAAAAACAGAGTAAAGTTGGAATTTTTGTACACTTAATTTCAATTGTTCCTAACTCCGGTATTTCTCCATACATTTTCTTCAACAAAAACTTGTTTTCTTCGTAAAAGTGCGATCTACGTAAACGTAAACAATAAAAAACTGGACATAATTTAACAGTTTCTATTTTTTCATAGCGATGAAAGAAATTTTTATGTTGAATTTTACCCGAAAAAATCGGAGTTTCTCATATATGTTGGTCCGTAACACTTAAACTATTGAATCGATTGGTAAACAATGTAAGAAGCAATTGTTGGAAATTCAATTACCTTTAATATGCCATCTTGCGCGACCCAATCGGACGTTCCTAAACGAGATATGGCCTAAAATGTGAAGGTATCTCAGAAAAAAATGGAAAAAAAAATTCAAAAATTCATATAAAAAAAACCTAACCATAGAGAAATTTTTTATTGCGATTTTCGAGTTTAGCAGGTCAAAATACATAAGAAAAACATTGTGTATGTACATGAAAAATTGTGAATGTACATTTTGGCTGTAAACTAGCGATATCGGATCATCGGATACGCCTTGACCTCGGATATCGTGTCGCGACGATAAAAAATACTGTCCCATTTAAAGAAACGCCGATGCCCTTGTAATTTGTTCCTTTGAATCAAACGACATTTTCTTGTGTCTACTTTTTCCCGTTACAAAGAACACGAGAAATATTTAATCCTTTGCACTCAAGAAGTGACTCTCAGTCACCATTAGGTTTCACACAGCGAATCTACAATACCTACTATTTCTTTAGGTTTAATTTCTTTGGAGCTTGAAGTGTCGATAAAATGATTGTCAGTGAGGTAAAGATAACCTTATTCTCAAATCTAGATAGCTTAGAATTCATGGCAATAGAATGCTAAGAAACATCTCGAGTTGCTGGTAAATACCAAAAAAAAGGCCTCGAGTGCAAAGGGTTAAGATGCAAGAGTTAGGTAGGGCACCCTATAAGGGACCGTTCATTAATTACGTAAGAGTCCTGAGGACGAGGAGGGTGTTTAACACACGACCTTACTTCGGAGGGGAGTAAGGGTAAAAGTCATTCTTACATAATATTTTCCTACTACTCGAAGTTCATCTGGCAGAGAGTAAATGTTTTGTTTCCTTACTTTAAGATTGGTTCAAGTCTTACCTTTAATTATAATAGGCATTTACCTAAATAATTACGTTTTTTAAATAAAAATCTTTAATTTATGTCACATAACGTGTTTTAGTGTAACTAAACCTTTCCTAACAATATTTAACTATTTAACACTTTTTATGAAAATCCTAGGTAAAATCTTATGTAAGAAGGGGGAGGGGAGTCCAAGAATTCTTACACAGCCTTACATGGATATAAAGAGGGTCAAATAATGGCCAAAATCTTCCTTAACTCTTTGGGGCACGGTGGGATTAAAAGTGTCCCTCCTTTTTGATGGACCGTAATGCATGGTGGGACATTTTTAATCCCACCTCGAAAGTTTGCAATAGCTGCATGTGTATAGGTGTGATACCTTTATTAATAAAAATGTAACAATTTTTTTTTATTTAAAACGCAATAAAATTCCTGTGCAACATGGATCTATTTTATGACCTGAATTCCGGTCCCGCAAAGAGTTAACCTTTTGGCGGGTAATCATTTTTGGGAAATACACCCGGTTTATGAGTAAACTTTGTTCCATAACAGAAACAATATTTTATTTCTTCTTAATTCAATTCAGCGTAAAAAATGCATCAAGTCCGGTGAAATGGTAATTTTAACGTGACAAGTCAATTTTTGTGGAAAAATGTCGACTTTCACCTAAGAACGCACGGTTTCTGCATTCAAACGTCATTTTTTCCCTAAAATACCACTGTAAAATTTTTGTTGACTATGCCATTGAAAAGATGAGACATCGAGGAAATTTTTCTCGAGAAGTTTTCTCGCTAAAAAACTATGTATTTGAAACCGGAAAAGGGATAGAGGAAAAGTCAAATTTTTGGAAATTGTCAAAATTTCCAGTTTGGCCTGATTTTTCACTTATTAAATCTACGTAATAAATTTTGGTTTGGCATTGAGACGATTGAAATTTAACGCTCTTTCTAATAGTATATTTAGTTTTAATTTTGCACTGTAATTTGATGAAGGTATGACCATCTGAAGAGTGTAAGGTGGAAAACCTGGAAAAAAATTAAAAGTAAAAATACTCCTAAAATAAGGGGTTTTTCGAAAAATGTCCCGCAGTAACTTTTTGTTGGAAATTAGTTGTAGAATCGATTCCCTGGTTTTGTCCAGACTTATCTGTAGACACCCTGTATACATGATTCAATTTAGACCACGTATAATATTATTGCATTCAATTAAAAAGAGTGTCTTATTATACATTTGTACAATTGACGAGATTGTTTTGAGAACTTTTATGAACGTCAGACATTTGTTATGAATTTATTATAATTATAAGGTTGTAAATTCATCAATTTAATTAACTCAGAACATGTTTGTTATAAGATTCTAAAAAGTGGTATAGTTATTAGTTTTACAAGTTTATAATAAATGATAAATGAAGGGCGATGAAAAAATGGCCAAAATCGTTCTTACGTAATTAAGGGAGTTATCCCGTGTGACGGAGGTTTTCTTAAGGTTTTTCGGAATTTTTTATAGCGAAATGAAAAAAACACAGAGCTTTCAAATTTCGACTATATGTTTATTCAGCATTTAACTATAACTATAAATTTTGTTAAGCAAACAAATAATGTGGATCACGAGATTTATCGCTCGTGTGTAAAAAAGAAGGTAGATAATCTGAAATAAAAAAGACAAATTGCATGTTAATCTATAGGTGGATGGCTATCGCTCGAACTAGGATTCTTGAAAAATATTGAAACGCTTTTCTTTCTTCATAAATAAGTAGTCGTAAAAGATCATGAAATTTTGGGTCTTAATGTTTAAAAGCATATAAAAAATTGAATTTTCCAGATTTTTAAAAAATCCTAGTTCCGTCGATAGCAATCCATCTATAGATTAACATGCAATTTGTTTTGTTTTATTTCAGATTAGCCAGTCTGCCGGAATCATGGGCGTCGTTCACCTACCTTTTTTTTACATGGGTACCATACGAGCGATAAATCTCGCGATCCACACTATATTTTTGCTTAAAAAAATTCAAAGTTACGGTTAAAAGCTGAATAAATATATAGTAAACAATTTGGAAACTCTGTGTTTTTTCATTCCGAATTCCGAATTCAAAATTCCGAAAAAAACTTAAAAAAAACGAGCGTCACACGGGATGAACCTCTTGATGTAAAAATTCCTAAATATCCCAACTCACGAAAAAGTTTTCCACTTACAACACGCCTGTTGCTCCAAAAAGGGTTAATGCCCGTCCGTAAATGCTTGAACTTAAAACACACCTCGTAGTTTGAAAAGAGACGAGTAACAAACTATCGAAAAATTGATTACAGGCGCGGCAGAACACGAGACACATCGAAGAGGCCTGAAATTGCTCGCAGCTGAGGTCAGGAACAAAAAAGACAACTTGAGGCAGTCTCCGAGAGTGGTCCATTCATACCGAAGATAGAATAAACGCACGCAACGATGCCGTCGGCTTTTTCGTCTGAAAAAATTATTTGCGTTCACGTGACGGTTGCGTAAACCACCATCCAGCCAATAGACGAGCGAAACACGGGGCGAGGAAGGCGATTAAACCAGCCGGGTGCGATACCAACTACGGGACAGTCTGATCGTGTTCGCCAGCAGATCGAGCTCATTTCGTTTTCGCGGAGAATCAACGAGGATCTACGAAGATCTACGAGGATCTACGAGGATCTACGAGGATCTACGAGAATAAAAGACATGCGGATGAAACGCGTCCTCCGTTCCACGGGAAGCATCGCCAATGGACGAATAACTCGAGGATAAATAAAAAAATGCGAACGAGTTTTTCGATTGGAGGATTCGATCTATCGCAATTTGATTTCTTCAGGATTTCGACGAATTCGATAAAAAAATCGTCAAAGAAATCGAGAACCGATGAATTCTCTCGAGGCGAGTGGCTGACCTAATTCAGAAGCTAGCCAGGAACTGTTTGCGGTCGGACGATAACAGACGCGCAGATAACGCGCGATTTACGCGACCCCTACGACTCGCCAAAGTCGGAGAAAGAGATAAGGAGCAGGGAGAAGCTGCAATCTTTTCTCAGCGGGTCAGTCGGTTCACTGGGTCGCGATGTATCAACGAGTGGTGCTGGTGAGCCTCCCACAGGCGTCGAGCATCGACATCGAATTCACCAACGTTACCTACGAGGCTCAAGAAGGGTTTCTGGGTCCTACGAAACAGATCCTGAAGGGAGTCAGTGGTGCGTTCAAATCCGGAGTGCTGACGGCCATCATGGGTCCGTCAGGCGCGGGCAAGTCGACTCTGCTGAACATTTTGACGGGTTTCGAGCGGGACAAATGGAAGGGTCAGATCGAGTACATCGGCAAGGACGGTAAGCACACGCTGAAGGAGTACAGAAAGCAGTCGTGCTACATCCAGCAGGACGACCAGCTGCATCCCCTGTTCACCGTGCACGAAGCCATGCGAATGGCGACGGATCTGAAGATCGGCAGCAGTCTGAGCAGAAAGGCGAAGGAGATGCTGATCGACGACGTGCTGGAGAACTTGGATCTCAGCAAGACGAAAGACACCAGGTGCAGCCAGCTGAGCGGTGGCCAGCGGAAGAGGCTCAGCATAGCGCTGGAACTGTTGGACAACCCACCAGTGATGTTCCTAGACGAACCAACGACCGGCCTCGACGCTCTGTCCTCTTATCAGTGCATCAGGCTACTGCAGAGCCTAGCCAAGGCTGGCAGAACCATTGTCTGCACCATCCACCAGCCCAGCGCTGCCATCTACGAGATGTTCGACAACGTCTTCCTCCTGGCGGGTGGCAGATGCATGTACGACGGCGCGACTAAAAATACGATCGCGTATTTCGCCAGTGCTGGCCTCCACTGCCCCAAATACCACAATCCTGCCGATTATATGATAGAGGTAATCAGCGGGGAGTACGGAGACTTTAGCGATCAACTGCACAAGCTCGCCACCAGCAAGGAGCAGTCGTGGCGGTCGAATGTGTCGCAGATTCTGAAGAAGGAAGCTGACGCAAATTTCACGAACGAGAGCAAGGCGACGGTCCTGGTTCAGCCGCCTTCGGAGTTGGAGAGGTTCGTCGTGCTGCTGCACTGGCATATGATTCAACTGTTCAGGGACTGGACGGTCACCTACCTGAAGCTGCTGATTCATCTTCTGGTGGGCATAATGCTCGGCTTGCTGTTCACGGACTCGGGCATGGACGGCAGCAAGTCTCTCAGCAACGTTGGATTCTTCGTGGTCACTTCTGTTTATCTGTGCTACACCAGCATGATGCCGGCGGTGCTCAAGTTCCCTTTGGAGTTCTCCATGTTGAAAAAGGAGAGATTCAATAATTGGTATACATTGAAGACGTACTACGCCGCGACTATCATCTGCAACGTGCCTCTGCAGATGATGTTCGCGTTCGTCTACAGCTCCGTCTCCTACTTCCTTAGCCATCAACCCGCTGACACCAACAGGTTTCTCATGTTCCTGGCCGTGGCGATCATGACCACGCTGATAGCGGAGAGTTTCGGAATTTTGATTGGTACTCTGCTGAATCCTGTAAACGGAACCTTCACGGCCGCCATCATCACGTGCGCCATGCTGGTCTTGTCAGGATTCCTGGCCCTCTACGATCACATGCCCGTTGTTCTCTACTACGTCAGCTATCTGAGTTATTTGAAGTACTCGGTGCACGCGTTCGTGCACACGATATACGGTTTCAACCGAGAGAAGTTGTCCTGCCCGAGGTCCTACTGCCACTATCGCATCCCAGAGCTCATGTTGACGGACCTGTCCATGACGGACGGCAAGTACTGGATCGACATCTGTCTACTCTTCTGCAATTACGTGTTATTCAGAATCGCGGCGTACTGCACGCTCAAAAAGAAACTCGCCTCGGCCTGAGATCCTGTTGCTGTTCTTGTGGTGATTGTTTCGTGAAACGAGGACTTGCTCGGGCGTCACCTGGAGGTTTGTTGTACCAAAGGTGGTGTTATCGCGTCACTCGGTATCCAAAGGTGATTGTGATCTAGGACAAAAGTGCCCTGTAACTGTGCAAATAAAGACGATTATGTCACTTTTGCGATCGGACGCTCGCCGATGGAAATGGGAATTTTCGCGATAAACGCGACATAACTTCCTGGCATTGTTCTGTGAAACGAGTATTGTTTTATCATTCACTGTTTTGTACTTGGCGTGAAACTCTATTAAAAACGTTTCCAATAAAGGCTCCGCATCTCTTTCCCTTCTATAAACAATTTCCTGTTCTAGGAGGAGGAAGAATCTCCATGGAGCGTCGCGGATACTTTGTTTTCTGACGGTGAACGAAGTCGGTTGGGCGAGATCAGGAACGTTAGCGTTATTCACGGAAATACCGTGGTCAAAGATCAAATGCGATCGCACGGAATTAATAACACCATTTTGTAATCGAATCGTGAGAACGTTGAACTTACGCGTTGCGTAACATGTCACTGTTAATGGAGGAGGTCGAGCAAAAGGTAAATTCGAGAAAAGTTCGTTGAAATGCGATGCTCGGAAAAGTTGGCAGGTGACATATTTAGATCGTTATTTAGGAGTGATAACTGATTTTTAATTAGCCTTCTCTTTGGTACAATATGTCAGGAATATTCCATGAAAATTCGAAAGCAACCGTGATTCGATGATTTCTGTAGATGACTGCAACATACCAGTGTATGGTAGTTGGATTCTCGATTCTACGCTCTTCATTGTAGGGAAGAAAGTTAGCGACTGCGAATATTGTCTGTCACGTAAGTCCGCATTTGTCTTATACTGTATGAGAAAGCAATGTAGGGTATAGGACTGGTATAGGACTATACATACAGTATGTCCCACGAAATCCTGGACAGCCGATTATTTCGTAACCTATTAAAGATACGAAAAAAGTTTTTTATATGAAATTGAATGGCAAGAGGAGGTCGATTTATTGGCCGTAACAATTTTTTTTTATCATTACTGTTTACAGAGATATGAAAGTTACGTTTGGTTTTTCAAAGGGGATTATATACTTTTTGTGTGATGAATAGATAGTATGTTTCAAGACGAATTCAGCAAGCTTAATGTATACATCCTTTTACAAATACTTTTTAAGATATTACGCGTAAAAATTTACTGATTTTCGGTACAAGAAAATCTGCGAGACCAGGAAGCACAGTAGGGGGTCTCGACTCTGGACCGCATTTAAAATGCTACGGGTTAAACCGTGCCTCTTGAAACCGATACGAAGAGACTGCGGTAGGAACGGCAAGCCTAAATTCTACATAACAGTTTTTTTCACAACCGTTACTTTTACGGCATGCAGAAAAATTTCATGTTTTAGTAATGAAATAAAGCTAACGAATAAAGCTAAAGGATTTTTAGGAGAAAAAAATATGAAAATATAAATTAATTTGAGATAAAAATAATATTTTTTTTTGGAATCCCTTCCACGTGCCCTCCATTATTTAGTATACAATTTTTTATTCGTTTTAGAAATTGTTTTTCTACTTTTTCAAGAGTATCTGTTAGAACGTTGCAACACGCGTTAGCAATGCGTTCTTTTAACTGTTCAACAGTTTCTACTGGGGTTTGAAATACTTTTTGCTTAATATGACCCCATAAAAAAAAATCGCAGGACGAGCATCCCTATTCGTTCTATTGACTGAATTGATAATTGCCTTGTGTAAGAAAAATAAACTTCAAGTCGTTTGCTGTTTGAGGGTACGGAGGTTCATTATTACCCCGGGTCCACACTGCGCGAACACGAAACAACCCTAAACATACCCTAAAAAAGGGTGTTCTTACTGTCGCTAACATATCGGTGAACATCTCCGATGTTCGTACTCCTGTGAAACTGATGTTATTTTATGGATTCGGAGGAATTCGCATCCCCTCCATGGTTGAAAATGCTCGAAAGCAAACGACCGTTTACGACCACCCGCCGGCCGATACTCCATAGGCATAATATGCGTGACCGTAGTTAATATTACTTCCACAATATTCATCCAAGTTTTTATGCTTTTTTTTGTTGTATCTTGATGAAAATATATGCAATATATTGGCGAGATTTTTCTGATAAAAATGATATCAAACACGACGCAATTCAGACAATTTTGAGTTTCGCTTATGATAAGTAATAGATTTTGTTACAGCCTATATATATTACACATACTATTCTTCAAGAAATGTTCGTTGACCTTTTTTTTAAGACAGTATGCTTGCCTATTAATATTTTTTAAAATACCATATTACGAACCATATTCCTACCGCAGTCTCTTCGTATCGGTTTCAAGAGGCACGGTTTAACCCGTAGCATTTTAAATGCGGTCCAGAGTCGAGACCCCCTACTGTGCTTCCTGGTCTCGCAGATTTTCTTGTACCGAAAATCAGTAAATTTTTACGCGTAATATCTTAAAAATTATTTGTAAAAGGATGTATACATTAAGCTTGCTGAATTTGTCTTGAAACATACTATCTATTCATCACACAAAAAGTACATAATCCCCTTTGAAAAACCAAACGTAACTTTCATATCTCTGTAAACAGTAATGATAAAAAAAAATTGTTACGGCCAATAAATCGACCCCCTCTTGCCATTCAATTTCATGTAAGAAACTTTTTTCGTATCTTTAATAGGTTACGAAATAATCGGCTGTCCAGGATTTCGTGGGGCATACCGTATACATAGATACATACAGTGACGAGCAAAAGTGTAAACACACTCCGCTGATTTGATGTAAAAAGCGAAAATTTTATGTGAAAGTACTGTAAGGAAAATACGCTTTAAAAAGTCAATATTTTATTACGGTAAAACTAAGGGAGTAAATTAACGAATGACTGACTAATGTCGCTACGTAATCGTTCACTTTCCAAAAGCGATTGCGGTAAAACGAAAAAGTGTCGATGCTCGTCGATCCTCGACACCAAACGGAATGACTGCACCTACGTCCTCGGTCTCGTTGCCACGTCCGAGTCGACTCTTCCGTCGCTCTTTTGTTTTATATCTAAGGATAGCCAATAATGCGTTCCATCGACTGGGAAAGAAATGAACATATTGGGCAGCGTCGGCGTCGCACGCAGCGAGGCAGGGCAGTGCCGAAAGGTCGGAAACAGTGTCGTCTCTCAACAATTACTTCTGGCCTTACGGTACGATTCATTTTTCAAGTGATCGATAAGGATTATGTTGGATCGATTGTTAAAATTTATTTATAGAACGGATCCGACATAGTTCGTCGGTACGTTCGACTCAAAGAAACAGATAACGTTCCAATGTTTAGAATACAGAGACACGTCACCAGAGCCTCACTTGGGGAGTCGGCTTCGAACTTCGGTCGCGATCGGTCCAGGAAATGAAATCGAAATGAGCAGCCAGTACATGAAGGTCCTTTCCAATAAAGTGCAAGGTGACACTGTGTAACATAATATCAAATTCGGTGCTTTCCAACTATGCGCAGCTAAAATGCTGTGTTCAACAGTGCAGACATTCAGAGCCTAATGACAACTCATGTAAACTAACTACTCCGCACTTTGGCGGTGAAATGAAGAAGCTAATTAGTGTATCAACCACAAACTGAGACTGTTTAGACATTTGCCTAGATGTCCGTGGCCTGGAAGTCAAATACCACAATTACGAAAAAAACTGGTGTTTTTACACCTCAAGCCTCTCCCAGCCACGTGTAGAGCCTGAGTGAGAGGTGAATAATAATTGTTTTTGAACATGTATCCATAGAATTTTCATTTTGAAAGATTATTTAATCAAAATCTACCTCGGTGTAACACGATCGATTTCACAAAGCAAAAAATCGATGTTTACGGCACAGAAAATCGGATAAAAGAGTTTAAATTTGAAAAAAATAATTTATTGGAAAAAAACAAAACCTTGAGATGTAAAAAAAATACAGTTTTTTTCGTAAGTGTGGAGACTCGGAAGTGTCAACAAAAAATACATCAAACCCGATGTCAAGCTAATTTCAAAGTGACAAGTCGATTTTCACCTAAAAATGTCCGTTTTTCTGCATTCAAACGTCATTTTCTCCCTAAAATACCACCGTAGAATTTTTTTGACAATACCATTTAAAAGCTGAGACTTTGAGGAAGTTTTTCCCGAAGAGTGCCCGCCAAACAACTATGTCTTTGAAACCGAAAAACGGATAGAGAAAAAGTCAAATTTTTTAAAATTTTCACAATGTAAAGTTTGACTTAATTTTTTACTTATTAAACCTACGTAATAGATTTTAGTTCGGCACCAGACAGATGGAAAATTTAACTCTCTTTCGAATGGTGTACTGATTTTTAAGTTTGCACTGTAATTTAGTGGAGCTGTGGCCGTTTAAAGAGTGTCAAGTCGAAAACACAGAAAAAAAATTAAAAGTGAAAAATACTCGAGAATAAGACGACACGAAAAGAAAATGTCTAAGAGTAAATTTTTGTTGGAAATTTGTTGTAGAATTGACACCCTGCGTATGTCCGGACTTATACGCAGACACCCTGTATAATACAATCTTCATTGTTAAAAAGAAAATTTGCAACTGCGTTCAGTCACTGTCACAGCAATGTAGGGATACACGCTGATATAGGACCATATACATTAAAGTGGTTTTTAAAGGGGTGACTTTCGAATTTTAATGTTTCAAAGGTCTTGAATGCTTCGAAATAACTAAAAACAGATTTCCTAAAAATTTCAGCTCTCCGTTTCAATTCTTAATACCCTCGTGCAAAGGTCGGATTTTCCTACTTAAAATTCTTATAGGAAATCGAATGCTCTCCAAAAAAGACTCATGTAAAAATCCCGTAACTCTAATCGGTATAAAGTTGTAAGCTCATGAAGTTGAAACTATAAGAATTTATCTTTTTTTTTGAATTTCTGATATGTTTTAAAAATGTTTAATACTGGTGAAAAAAAGTAGAGTGACGTACAGCGGTGATAATAATTTTTGAACACTTATACTTGTGTTGTTAAGAATATTATTAATGAATATTTTGTTTATTCTTCTTACCTTACCAGACAAACAATTCCCAGCAGAATACTTATAAAATAATCAATAATATAAGGTTCCTTGTACCATATTAACAACTGCTTACAAAAATACGTGTAGGATGAATATTGGCAAATACCTGTACGACATAATACTTGTAGAATAGAATACTTACCTAGAGGATACTTGGAGCTACCTAAAGGACAGCTATAGAATTGTCAAATAGCATTGTTCATAATATTGCAACTTACAGGACGTTTCATCCCCACTCATAAG